ATCAGTTAGGGCTCCGAAATGCAGCCAAAATAGTCATTGTTGATGAACAAAGAAGTCACAAGCAGAGAATGCACCGTGTTTCCATTGGAGCTGGTGTCATTCACGATCCTATTCTACCATTTCTGGATAAGCCGACGTCCGGCCTCAACTCCACTGGTGCTGACCGCCCTTGACTCTGACATAATCAAACTCCATCGTTGTTGATGTATCGGTCTGCCAAATCAGGAAACATCCTTTTAGTCACATTTATAGATCACTTGAATCTGGTAAGGATCTTCTATCGGCAATGATGTCATCGATCTCCCCGCTCATCTCATCAATTTGTAGAAACAACCCGTATCTTGATTTCTAGTAAATTGACGCTCTTTAACTCCTAAGTATTTTCTAGCTACAATTCTCACGTATGATTTTGTGTTTTCTCCATTTATATCGTTTATACAAGTTGTAAAATCTTATGATTTATTCTTTGATGATTCTTTGAGATTTTTTTGGAGGATTATGATGGTTTTCAAGTATTTTAAGTTCAAATCTCAAATTAAGCGTTGGGTAAACGTCACAGGCATGTGCTTTTCCATTTTTTAAATTATAAAAGAAGTAAATATTGGTGCCTACCGCCCTTGACTCTGACATAATCAAACTCCATCGTTGTTGATGTATCGGTCTGCCAAATCAGGAAACATCCTTTTAGTCACATTTATAGATCACTTGAATCTGGTAAGGATCTTCTATCGGCAATGATGTCATCGATCTCCCCGCTCATCTCATCAATTTGTAGAAACAACCCGTATCTTGATTTCTAGTAAATTGACGCTCTTTAACTCCTAAGTATTTTCTAGCTACAATTCTCACGTATGATTTTGTGTTTTCTCCATTTATATCGTTTATACAAGTTGTAAAATCTTATGATTTATTCTTTGATGATTCTTTGAGATTTTTTTGGAGGATTATGATGGTTTTCAAGTATTTTAAGTTCAAATCTCAAATTAAGCGTTGGGTAAACGTCACAGGCATGTGCTTTTCCATTTTTTAAATTATAAAAGAAGTAAATATTGGTGCCTATTGCCTTTGTTGCAGATGAATTCATATTACTTTATTCATTATTAATTGTCGATCGTGTGATTGGTTGGATATAGCATGTTATGTATCTTACCAGCTACCTATATCTGTCGGACTTGGTTAATCAGACACAATGTTTGTCTGGAACAAATGTTGCACTCAAATTAGATAAAAACTCAAAGATTATAGTAGCTTACTGGTCTGGAGGTATAATGAAATCTAGCAGCGGATATTATCCAATGTTATGGTGTTATTCAAGTAATGCAGTCGACTGGATCCTCCGAACGATCTACTATATCAAGAGTGAGTTTTATATCTTTTCATACTTGTTTATTTGAAGTTTATAAAAGTGATGATGTTGTAGATGTATTCTTTTTTCTACAGTTAGAGGGGACAAATTGGGTGGTTTCTGAATTTGTGAATATAGTAGCACAAAAATAGCCCTTCTTGATCAATGTGAGTTTTTCTTCACTTGTACATCTTCTCTATAGGTAAATATTTACGTTTTAAATTGTCAAAAAAGTTTAATAAAACTACTAAGGAACAACATTCACATATTAATATTAGCTCCATCACTTTTTACATACTCTATTTAAAATTAGATAAAAGTAGATCATTGTATAACATTTATTTCATCTCATGTCATAGAAACAAACATATTTATAGAAAATCCATAGCTTAATGCAGTTAATTCACAACATAATACGATAAGTTTACAGTTTTATAGCTTTAATTTATTGGTTAATACAGTCAATTTACAGTTTAGTACACAAATTTCACAAGTAAATATAATAAATTTATAGTTTAATACACAAAATTTATACATTTATAACTATATTATCAACTTGAAACTTACATTTACACCTTTGGATCTGAAACATAGTGTTTTTTCAAAGTTTATTTATATAATATCCGCAATTTAAATTTTACATACTTTATGCAAAATTAGAGAAAATCATATTTTTGTATAATGCTTCTTTCATTTAATATTTCATAAGGAAACACAAAATTCACAAAATAATAATAATAATAATAATAATAATAATAATAATAATAATAATAAAATTAATAATAATAATAATAATAATAATAATAATAATATTAATAATAATAATAATAATAATAATAATAACACCTTATTAAAATAAATTCGCAATTTAATATAATTAATTCACAGCTTAATACAATCAGTTTATGATTTAATACATAAAATTCACAACTTAATACAACAAATTCATAGTTTAATATATAAAATATTATACATTCACATCATAACCTTATTGTTCTTTTTAGTATCCTAAAAGGCATGATTTTTATAAATTTTAAATTATGAATGCATGATTATATATATATATATATATATATATATATATATATATATATATATATATATATATAATCATGATTTTTTATAAGTTTTAAATTACGAATACATGATTTTATAAGTTTTAATCTGTGAATAAAAGAAATTTTATACAAATTTAAGTGTTTTAATAAAAAAAACAAAACATAAATTTTAAGCTGTGAATGTTGTAAATACATCAATATTTTTGAAATTTTATATTTTTCTTATGTTAGTATTTTCTCAAATAATGTTAATTTAGGGTTTTTAAATTAAGAATTATAATATTTTAATACTTCATTTATTGTTTAGTTATGTTAATGTTAGTTTTAACTTTTATTAATAAAAAAATATACTTTTTAAAATGTGAATACATGATTTTTTATAAGTTTTAAGCCGTTAATACATGATTTTTTTTATATGTTTTACGTTGTGAATACACGATTTTTTTTACGTATCTGATTGTTTCATGGAAATACATACGTTTGAGTTGTAAAGGCATAAGATTTTTTATAAGTATTATGATGTTAATATATGATTTTTACACATATCTGAATGTTTCAATGAAAAACATACGTTTTAAGATGTTAACGTATGCTTTATTATGATTTATATAATTTTAAATTAAGTATGTAAAATTTAAATTGTGAATATTTTTGTAAATAAACTTTCAAATGAACAATAGTCTGTAAATCTGAAAGTGTAAATATAAGTTTTAAGTTAAGAATATGGCTTTAAATTTATTTGAATTCATCTATAACTTATTTTTATGTGTATTTTTAATTTTTGAACTTGTAAACATCAAATTTATGATTTATAAATATATGTATGTTTAGGAAAATAGGAAAAAACATAAAAATATATAGAAACCGGTCACCATACTGATTCGAGTAAAAAACTTGTTTTTAAAACATTACCTAAAATGCTCTATTAACCTATGAATTTGTTTGGTACACACAAGATATTTGATGAAGTACTTCATCAAAATCGATTATGATTTTAAGTTGTAAATATCGTGAACGAGAGATCTAAACTACTTTATTAAATTGCGAATTAAAGTCTTGAAATGTAAATTTTAACTTGAGAATATGATTGTGAAGTGTAATATTTTTGCATTAAAATTTGAAATTATTATATTAAGCGGTAATTTTTTTTTTTATTAAACCACGATTTGATTGTATTAAGTTGTAAATTAACTGTATTAAACCATTATATAATTGTATTAAGTTGTGAATTGATTGTATTAAACTGTAAATTGATTGTAATATGTTGTGAATTGATTATATTAAACTATGATTTTTTTATAGTTCGTTGTAGCCTTTTAAAGTATGAGATAAAGTACCATTATATACAAATCTCATTTAATCTAATTTTGAATAAAACATTTAAAATTTAAGTCGTGAAACTTTTTGTAAATAAACTTTGACGAAAGCATTAGCATATAGATCAAAAAGTGTGTGTGTATATATATATATATATATATATATATATATATATATATATATATATATATATATATATATATATATATATATATATATATATATATATATATAAGTTTTAAATTGAGAACGTAGTTAAGAATATATAATTTGTGTGCATTAAACTATTAGTTTTTTATACTAAGCTGTGAATTTTATTTAATGAACTGTGAATTGATTTTATTAAGCTGTAAATTTTTAATGAATTATATGTTAAAATATGACTGATTTATATATGAATGTTTATTTTAATTTGTTTGTGAATATATTTATTTTTTGTTTAGATTAAATATGGAAGACTAAATTAGTTTTTATAATTATTTTACATTAAATTCAAGATGAGTGAATTAGTAGGTTTTATTAGACTATGACTATAGTATTTAATCTGTTAATGTATGACTTTATTTACAGATATAATTTAGAAGAAATGATAGTTGCAAAGTTGCTACATGTGTTTGGTGGCAGCGTGTGATGGTGGTGGTGATTTAGAAGCAATGATAGTTGCAAAGTTGCTACATGTGTTTGGTGGCAGCGTGTGATGGTAGTGGTGGTGGTAGAGTTTGTGTTTTTTGATTTTTTTGAATTAATAAATTATTGTAAAATAATCAGTATTTAGCTATGAAGTTTTGCAATAAACTATAAATAAAGTATATAAAGTTGTATTTTATATCAATTTTGTATTAATATATAAGAGCATATATGAATAAAAATATTAGACTGTAAAAATTACATTTTTGATATTTTCTTACCAAAAGGACAAAAAAGAGAATTTTAACATGTTTTATAAGAGTTCATGTATATATTTACTAATTAGTGGGGTTTTTAGGGTTCTTAATCTTTTTTAGTTCTTATTTGAACAACTCATTTTATATATATATATATATATATATATATATATATATATATATATATATATATATATATATATAAATAAACGAATAAAATTATAAAAAAAATATTAAAAAAGCTAAAATAAATATTGTAAGTTAGACCAACCATAAAAATAAAGACACCATCATTGTAGAAAGTAAATAAATAAATAAATAAAAACATTATGAATTTTTTAAAACCAAATGAACCGTTTGTGTAATTTAATAGTCTTAATCTTATTTGTTAAAAGGGTGGACATCATTAGGTAACAACACTTGTCTCCAAACCACAAAAATGTGATAAAAAATGAACTAAAAAAAGTAGATGACAATAATTCACTTTATAGATTACAATTAAAACCCAGAGTACTATAGAAACATCGAGTTTCTTGAACTTAATTAATTAGAACAAAGCGACTCTTCTTCAATTCTGCACAACAAGAAATTAACAGCATCTGCAATCTCATCTACTGTACTCAGTTGGCATCCATCTTCAAGCTGCCCACATGACAAGAACACCACACTTAATTAGCAATTAATTAAACAAACTAAGCTCGATTTTTTTAATTAAAACATTTAATATTCCCCTTCTAATATTTATAAAAACTAGATCAACAAGAGAATTTTTCACTGGACCCGCAGTGCTCGTTGAAATATTGCGAGTAGGGATTTATTTAATTCATTTGCGGTTTTCAAATAAAAAGTAAACGATGAAAATGACACGTTATAGAAATACACGGATATAGGTGAATGTCGATGCATAATTGAATATATTCTAGTGAAACCATTTAAGGTATTTTGGTCATTTACAATTTATATATGCAGTCTATTTAATTGAAAATCGAATATCAAGAATGAAAACTAACCTTGACACTAAGAGTGTAGAGAACCATTTGCTCAACTGTGGTAACATTAAGGTGAAGAATAGTTAACCATAAACACTGTAGACCAGCAACCATCTTCAAGAGCTGTGTCTTCCGTTTCTTGGAAAGTATCTTAAGGTTTGCATGGCTTTCCACCATTGCCACTTCGATTTCAGCCATAGCAGGTGGCCGGTTTTTGGTCTTGGTGGCTGAACCACCACCACCACCATCATCATAAATATCCCGGCCAATAGAGTATTGTGGGAATGTAAAGAATTCCTTAAAGGGCTGTGATGGTGGAGAATAGCCATTAAGATTCGCGCTTTTCTTAACCTCCAGCGTTTGTACTTGATGCTCTAATTGTTTCACAAAGTTAATGGCTCCTGCAACTATTGATGCCTGATCACCCTAAAAAGATATTCATTTAAATTTAGTTTTTTAAATATATACATCAAGAATCTAAACATACATACAGAAGAAATCAATAATTGTCCAATTTTTATATAAATAAAATCAATCATGTTTAGGCTTTAATAGTAATTTTCAAACAATGATTCATTGGTGATGTGAACTCCCTTGTCTTCTATCTAATTTGGAATATGAAACACTGTTCATTTTTTATCAATTCTTTTTATAGTTTTTTACATATTATGTATATATGTTATTGATTAAGTTTACGATAGTTTATGGCCATATATATTTAAAGTAAACTGTTCAATTATTTCTTCTAAAAAGTTTAGAATCGCAATAATGTAATCAACAATTAAACTTAAAGAGGACATCAATTTAATTCTTACCCTTTGAGCATAAGAAGATGGCATCATTGAACGGATCACGGCTAGATATTCATTCATCTGTTTCCGGCGGTTGCGCTCCACGGTAATATGAGTCATCCTTTGGGTCTCTATGTCCTCTTTATTCTTACCACTCTTGGTGCGCCTGCGCTTTCTCCGACCAGCCGCCGTGGCCGTGGTGGTTGGCACTGTGGCAGTTGGTGATGATTCCACCTTCATGTCCCTGTGGCTGTCGGGTGAAAATAGTCCCCGAAGAAAATATAAGTCGCATTCGCCACCGCCAGTACAATCGTCCGGTGAGGATTTAGGATCCCATTGGTCCTTAATATGCATTGCTGAAGAAGATGAAGAGTAATCTCCCCAATATTCATGGACACTTGCTGATTCTTGATGATGATTGGTATGATTGGTACCCTCCAAAAACCCACCGAAAATATGATCTTCCTGGAAAAGATAATTGTACCCAACATTACCAATTTGCCCTTGTGAATATACTATTGTCTCCAGCGCCATCTCTCTCTCTCTCTCTCTCTCTCTCTCTCTCTCTCTCTCTCTCTCTCTCTCTCTCTCTCTCTCTCTCTCTCTCTCTCCTACCTATAATGTGATCATATACATTACAGTGGGAGGAAGATATGTGTGGATTTTGTTTGAATGTTGTTGGAAAAGGAATGCTAAAAGAGAATCGATTAACGGATATAGGTATAGAAGAAGAAAGCTTGAAGATAGAAGCACTGAGTATATAAGACCAAGAAGAAGACTACTCAAAAGATCAAAACAAATAAGCCTTTTTAATCTCTTGAAGATAGAGTACAACAATGTCTTAAGAGTGTGCATATATTTTTTGTTCTTATAACGATGAACCCTAAATGAAACAAAAGATTCTACAGTATGTTTTACACGTGATGTTGTAAGTAGACCCTAGAGAGAGAAAACTAGAGAGAGATAGAGAGCTCCAGAACATATATATATATATATATATATATATATATATATATATATATATAATATATATATATTTTGACACCCATCCTATAAACATTTTTATTAAAAGTTCACTTATTATAAACTATTTATAATTTATTTTTTTAAAAACAATGCAAATTTAATTAATAAAAAAAATCTTAAAAATCAAATAGGGTGTCTAAATGGAAAATTTGGATGTCTTTTTAAACAACCTAATATATAAGGGTAGGATACATTGATACTTACAGTTTCTTAAGAACTCGAAAATAAAGGTTGAACGTTAGATCAAAATTAACTCATTAAAAGTATCATCATCATCCTCTTACGAATCTTATTTAATGTTTAGTTGTTTTTATGTTATTAGAAATATTAATAAAAACGTCTAAAAATTAATATAACAAAATTAAATTTTCGGAATTAAAAAAAATACCTTTTTTTATAGAAAAATGCAGATTTTTTAATTTTTTCTAGAAAACATGATTTTCTTAAAAAAAACTATATATATATATATATATATATATATATATATATATATATATATATATATATATATATATATATATATATTGTTAAAAAACAACATTTTTTTTAAAAAAAACAATAAATTTTTAAAAATCACTAAACTTAAAAAAAGTGAAAAAAAAAACGGAATATTAAATAAAAAAACTATAAATTTTTTAACATTTTTTCATATACTAATCTATAAACACGATATTACAAGTATTTTATTCAATACAAAAAAATATATTAAAAAACAAAAAAAAAAAAAAAAAAAAAAAAAATACAAGTTTTCAAAAGGTTTTCGTGTCTCGTGTTAAGATTTTTATATTTTATTTAATTTATCACTATTCACTTCTTCAATATTTATCACAAATTCTTCTAAATCTACAAGAAAATTAAATAAAAAATTGATTCATACAAGAAGACCCTCTAAAATGCATATGTATATGTCATGTAAGATTCACATATGACTATATCATATAATATTCACATGTAATTCATATGTGATTTGCATGTGAATCATATGTAATTCACTTGTCATTTATATGTGAATCATATGTAATTCATATGTGACTCACTTGTGATTTACATGAATTGCATGTGAATCACATGTAATTCATATGTGATTCACTTGTCATTTACATGTGAATTACATGTGATTTATATATGATTTACATGTAAATTATATGTAATTCATATGTGATTCACTTGTGATTTACATGTAAATTACATGTGGTTTATATGTGATTTATATGTGATTTAATGTGACTTACATGTAATTCATATATGATTCACTTGTGACGTACATGTAAATTATATGTGAATCACATGTAATTCAAATGTGATTCACTTGTCATTTACATGTGAATTGCATGAAATTTATACGTGATTTACATGTGAATCATATGTAATTCATATGTGATTCACTTGTTATTTACATGTGAATCACATGTAATTCATATGTGATTCACTTGTGATTTATATGTGATTTACATGTGAATCACATATAATTTATATGTGATTCACTTGTTATTTAAATGTGAATTACATCTGATTCATATGTGAATTACATATGAATCACATATAATTCATATGTGATTGACTAGTTGTGCCAACTAAACTGTAGCTTCCAGGTAAGATTAACATATTCTTTTTACCATGCTTTTGGATTTTGGTTTAGGTTTCAATCATCTCATGGAAGTTTCTCTCATAAGAGGGATGAACATGTTTTACTATGCTTCACTTACAAATACAACACCCGAGCAAAAATTGTAAAAGAAATTGTAACCAGAAATAAAATAAATAATCACATCATTTAGACTTAGTTTGTTATGCTTATGCATATGAATAACAAGACAAGATAGAACATGCCAGGTACTCGCTCCCCATCTCTAATATGTGTAAAAGACGAAAGATGGAATGATTCTAGCAAGCCTTTTATAAAGAAAAGACCTCAATCACTAAAATAATAATAATAAACACCTGAAACATTGGAGTGATTCAAGCAAGCATTCCAAAAGTTCTCACTAGGTTGCTACTTGAAATGCCCCTGGAATGAAATTATACAAATTATAGCTGAAAGTATGAATAAATACTTCACTTTTGCTAATAATTGCAAACATTCTAAAAAGTAGATTCAGGAATTTATTATTATTTGAGGTTATTTTATGTACCTTGGGTCCCCTCAGGACCATATAGTCACATTAACGCATCCCCTAATTGCAAAAAAAAAAAATTAAAAAGAAGATTTAAGCGTTGTCACTAATTAACTTTTGTAAAACACAACACATAAAATTAAACAACCCTTCATCATAATAAAAAATTCAAAAGAGTATAATAGCTAACAAAATGCAAGATTGTTAATAGAAATCAATATTAAGACATTAGGCCCTATTAGTTCTAATTAACAAAAACATAACAAGCACTAAAGCATCTTGTTGTTTATGATCATATTAAATAAAGTTGAAGACTATAACAACTAATAGAGAAATGGAGAGGTTAACATTGTATCTAGACGAACTATATAAAAAAATTATAATGACATGATATATAATTTTGCAGACAATTATATTCCAATCAGACATCAATTACAGAAGAAAAAAAATGAAAATCAAACCCTTTAAAAATATTGGTAATATGACATCAAGAACAAGGTAATACCATATCGAAAATTTAAAATCAATGCATCATTAATGATCAGATTTGGATAGAAATTCTTTAAATTCCATAAGCTTCATGAATCATTGTTGCTCACATCAGATCAAATTGACATACACACACTGTAAAAAAAATCTACATCTAATAGTATACAAAAGAAGGTGAAGATATTTACTTAGGTTTTCAGAATTCATCATCTATCAACGATCTACATCCGTCAATCTTCACGGACGAGCAATTAAGGCCACTTCAGATCTAATCGGTTGGCAGTGGCGGTAGAAGACAATTATGTGATCAACGAGGTGTCAGAAATCGCAGTGGAAGAAATTGAAGGTCGAATGGCATCGAAAATGCGACTGATCTGATGAGAAGTGGAAGAAATCAACGATCGATTGTAAAGAAAGTCATGGAGATTTGAGAGAGAAAAAAGATAAAGAACCTAGGGTTTAAATTGTTTAATTGAAATATTATAGTTTTCCAAAATGTAATACCAAGATTACCCCCACATTCTTTTCATTTTAAACATAAGAAGTCATTACATTGAGTTTTATTTACAAATTGCACCACAAATCATCTCATCCATCCAAACAATTGATTTAACGTTCCTTTTTTAGTTTTTGGGATCTCGGGAAACTATAAGTTCTCAAATGATCTTTCATCTCTCTGTGTGTGTGTGTGTGTGTGTGTGTGTATATATATATATATATATATTGAAAAAAACATTATTTTCTAACAAAATACCAGTACAAGAAATGAGAGTATTACCGGTCACAGGTGTCGCCACTAATATTTTTTGTAGCGACCCATCGTCGTTAAAACGGTGCCGCTAGTGTTTCGTCGCTAATACTCCAAATGTTGATGCTAATGAAATACGTCATCGCTAAAGGTTTTATGCCACTAATAAGCGGGCATCGCTGCTAAAGGACTATTGCTGCTAATAACCAAATGTCGCTACTAAACACGTCACCGGTATTGCTATTTTCTCTTTTTTTGTATTTCACATTAAAATTGAAAAAACCATATAAAAATTATAAAAACTACTATGATATTAATTAATCTAATTCAACATCCTTCCATTCTGAAATATTAATCTAACATTTATTTACAATACTCATCCAATTTAACAGAATGCAAAATAGGAAAAATACTAGTCTAAAATGTTTACACAAACAAAACATTACAAAAATCCTACAAGTAGCTGCTCCTCATCATCGTTCTCAATGGTTCCTCTGGTTTCATTTCGTTTTGGCAACGAACGAAATCAATCTTCAAGTGTGGCACCACATGGCAGATCTTTTAACATTGTTTGAAGCATGTCCAACTAAAAAGAAAACAATATAGTCTTATAAGTTAAAACAAAATTATAACATTCTATATACAAAATATACATTCCACATACAAGCAAAGTACAAAATATAGCATTATACTATATAACTAAACTTAGGAAAATATAAGCAAAGTACAAAATATATTATCAAATAGACTTAAGCATACATGCTACACATATTGCATATAACACATTATAACATTGTACTTTTTGTTATTTTTTACATTATAGCATTGTACTTACACAAAGTAACAATTACCAAACTACAAAATACCAATTTATCAAACGATAACCAAACTAACGATTACCAACGTATAAACTATTACCAAACTAACAATTACTAACATTTAAAACTATTACTAAGCTAACAATTACCAACATGTGAACAAATTACCAAAATTAAATAGTCCTTTTTTCTGTGATTATGGCAGTGGTTTTGTTAGTGGTTGTTCCTGATCGTATATCGACACAGCCGTAGAAGGTTTATGTTTGATACCTCTGATATGGCCTCATCGAACACCCAATATTCTTTCAAAACAATTTTGTATACCCCTTGGTGTTAGACCACTGCTTTATAAGAAGCTTGAGTTTGTTGAATGATCTCATGGAGTAAAACATTATGTATTTTCAAAAAATGATAAACATCATAAAAATTAGATTACTAAATACCCCTTGACGATATAAACACCTATATGAAAATACAAATTAACTACTTACAGAGAGCAGTGGAACTAGCGATGATTTTGTGCTGTGTTTCAGAGACATCATGGTGGGTACACGCCACAACCAGAGAGCAGTGGAATTAGTGATGATGAGATTCGCAAGATGATTCATAACAAGGTGGCTGCAGCCAGACGAGAGGCTAATCCGAAGATGTTTGGGTCTATTAAGACCACTTTGATAGAGACGTTTGATGAGCAATATGTTACAGTTACTAAGGCGGCTACTGCTGCTGCCACCGCAGCTGTCACTGCTGCTAGGCTATAGGGGTGACTCGTTGCTGTATTGGGAGTTTAGCAACACGAAGCCACCAGAGTTTGATGGGACTCGGGATCTGATTTATGTGATTAGATGGACCTCTGATATCGAGGGGTGTTTCTACACTTGTTCATGTCCAGAGCACTTGAGGGTACGGTTCGCGATGAACCAGCTTCGCTTGGGATCGAAGGACTGGTGGAAGTTGGTGACAGCCAATTTTACTCCTGGAGTGCATACTGTAGTGACTTGGGATAGGTTTACTTAAAAGTTCCGAGATAAGTATGTTCCCCCGATGGAGAGGGAACGGTTGGCCCAGGAGTTTCTGTCTCTCAAGCAGAAGACATAGTCGGTAACTGAGATTACACGGATGTTTTAAGAGAGGGCATTGTTCTGCCCTGAGCATGTGTTGATGGAGTAGGCAAAATTGAGCTGGTATTTGAGCATTCTGAGGAGGGATATTTGAGAGTTCATGGCGAACTCATCTTATCGGACATTTGTTGAGCTTCAGGCAAAGTTCTAAGAGGAAGGAGATCGAGCTGGAGACTCAGGCCAAGGAGGATGTGGAGTCTTAGGGGAGAGATCGGAGGTTGGCATAGTTGTAGCCGGCAGCGAAGTGAGCTAAGCCCACTGATTTGGGGACTAGGGTTCAGAAGGGCCACACTTGTGGAAAGTGAGGCAAGAGTCACGAAGGGTTGTGTCAAGTGGGATTTTCTACAAATGTGGTAAGAAGGGGGTATATGGCGAAGGATTTCCCCAAGGGATTTGTTGTTTGCTTTCATGGGAGGGAGTTGTTCTGCCCTGAGCACATGTCTTCTAAGCAGGCACGTATGAGCTAGTATTTGAGCATTCTAAGGAGGGATATTCGAGAGTTCGTGGTGAACTCGTCTTATCGGATATTTATTGAGCATCAGGAAAATGCCTAAAAGAGGGAGATTGAGTTGGAGACTCAGGCAAGGGAGGAGGTGGAGTCTTAGGGGAGAGACAGGAGGCTGGCACAGTCGCAGTCGGCAACCAAGCGGGCTAAGCCCGCTTATTCGAGATCAGGAGGCCAGAAAGGCTGCACTTGTGGGAAGTATGGCAAGAGTCATGAGTGATCATGTCGAGCGGGTATTTGATACAAATGTGGCAAAGAGGGGCATATGGCAAGCGATTACCCTGAGGGGTTTGTAGTCTGCTTTCACTAAAACCAAACCGGCCATCGGAAGGTCGAGTGCCCCCAATTGATACAGGGATTAGTACAAGGAACTACACCAACTGCTATATGAACTATCGAGAGTTGGCCAGCAAAGGTCGACACACCGAGGGTTTGTGGGAAAGCCTTTCAGCTGACATCGGAGGAGATACGCACAGCAGCAGATGTCGTGGCCAGTATGTGTTCTTTTACTTATTCTATTTTTGAGTTATATTTGTTCTTATATTGTGTAGTGTATAGGTACTTTTCTTGTGAATTATGTACCTGTCTTGGAGTTACTTGACTCGGGTACGAGACGATCCTTCGTTTCATTAGCGTTTAGTCACCACATCAGTATTCAACGCGAGGAGTTTAGTCAACCTCTGCGAGTTTCTATAGCCGATGAGCATGCGTCATTTGCTACTAATGTGATTTGAGGATGTGTGCTCGATATTTTTGGTGTTGAGTTTCTAATAGCTCTGGTTCCGATCGCGATGGGTGATGTCTGTGTCATTATGGACATGGAGTGGTTTAGTCGGTTCGGAGTTGTGATCGACTGCGAGGTTCAGGTGGTGACCATACGAGACCTTAGTGGGGAGTGCTTACAGTGTATGATGAGTGTACAAGATCTGGGTCAGTTTTCTGCTCGTCTGCCAGACCGAGACAGAGTCTATAGCAGGGTTGCAAGGTTTTTTTAGCATGTGTAATGGATATGAGGGTCACTAGCGAGAGACCAAGTTCTATCACTAAGATTCCGATAGTGAGTGAGTTTCTGGATGTTTTTTTTCGAGTCATCGGGTGTGCCTCCCAAGAGGCAAGTGGAGTTCCGGATTGATTTAGCTCCGAGAGCGGCGCCTA